ATTAGGGGAAGCTATTTCCTGGAATAGGGAAAATTTTCTCTCCAAGACAAAGAGAACTTCCAAGCGTAAGGCAACAGCCAAGGATCTGAAACACTCTTCCTTCACACAAAAGAAGAAGAGGAAGAGGAGGAAGAGATTGGATTTATACCCCGCCCTTCACTACCCAAAGGAGTCAGAGTGGCTTACAGTCTCCTTTCCCTTCCCCTCCCCACAAGACACCCTGTGAGGTAGGTGGGGCTGAGAGAGCTCTGACAGAAACGGCTCTTTTTCAAGAACAGCTCTGACAGAACTATGGCTTGCCCAAGGTCATCCAGCAGCTGCAAGTGGAGGAGTGGGGAATCAAACCCAGTTCTCCCAGATTAGAGTCCGCGCACTTCAGCACTACACCAAACTGGCTCTCATCGCTCGTGTCCTACCAATGGGTTATGATGGTGAAGGAGCCTGTCCATCGGGGGGAGGGGATTTCAACTTATTTCCTTCTCCCACTGCAGAGCCCTACTGTGCCCCCTATGTTGTTCCTCCAAATCAGCGGCCCCCGGGTACAAAATTCCAGGGGGCTGCAGTGTGAGAGGGGAAGGAAGTCCAGCTCTGCAAACAGATCTCATGAAAGGAACCCCGGTATGGAAAGAGGGTCTTTAACTAGGTTGGCCAACCTCCAGGTTGTACTAAACACAGTGAGCCACACCCTGTGAAACTGTAGCCGGCCAAACAACTGCGTGTAAAAAGAGTGGGGTTTTTTAACCTGAACAAAGATAATTAAACAACTCAACCTAGTCTGTGAAAATTAATGTTATATCATATACACGGGTATTTTTGGGCAGAAACACACAGGAACAGAGTTCCGGCTGGCTTCAGAGTTGGCCACGCCCACTACAGCCCAAACCCCTGCGTGCGTGGCTACAGGGGGAAGGCCTGGAGACCAACACCCCCCCCCCGCAACTCTGGGGCAGCCCCCCCCCCCGGAAGGATCGGGGAGGCATTCCAAGGGCCGGCTTGCCCGGGCTCCCCACAGCCGAGGGCACCCGGGCAAGTCAAGGGAAGGCATGAGGTGTGGCCTAATATGCTAATGAGTTTATGCTGTTGGGCGTGGCCTATTATGCTAATGAGTTCCTGCTGGGCTTTTTCTACAAAAAAAGCCCTGCATATACACAATTCATAAATACAAATGTCCAAAGCTATTCATATACCACCAATATCAAAATTCAAAATCTCAAATCATGGGGCAATGACTTTCCTCGAATAGTCTGAGTAGTTTAATTATCTTTGTTTGGGTAAAAATATATATATATATTTTTACATGCAGTTGTTTAGTGGGCTGCTTGCTGCCTCCGAGTCCAGGTGGTAGCTGGAGGTTTTCTGGGATTACAATTTATCTCCAGGTGACAGACCAGTTCTGTATATGTGTGTGTATTTTGTTGTTCAGTCGAGTCCGACTCTTCGTGACCCCATGGACCAGATCACGCCAGGCCCTCCTGTCTTCCGCCGTCCTCTGAAGTTGGCTCAATCTCATGTTCGTTGCATCTATGACACTGTCTAACCATCTCATCCTTTGCCGTCCCCGTCTTCTTTGACCTTCAATCTTTCCCAGCATCAGGGTCTTCTCCAGTGAGTGCTCCCTTCTCATTTGGTGGCCAAAGTATTTGAGCTTCAGTTTCATTATCTGGCCTTCCAGGGAACAGTCTGGGTTGATTTCTTTTAGGATTGACTGATTTGATCTCCTTGCAGTCCAAGGGACTCTCAAGAGTCTTCTCCAGCACTATAGTTCAAAAGAATCTATTCTTCGGCGCTCGGCCTTCCTTATAGTCCAACTCTCGCAGCCATACATGACTACTGGGAATACCATTGCTTTGACCATGCGGACTTTTGTTGGCAGGGTGATGTCTCTACTTTTTATCATGCTGTTTAGGTTCGCCATCGCACGTGTGTGTATATATATATTGCTGTTTGCTCTATGCTTAGATATTTCCCCCAGTAGAGCAAATAGCCATATGCATCCTTCCCCCCCCCCATGGCTAAAATTTAGAACAGCAGGAAATCCTGTTTACTAATCCACCTCAGTTATGTCTCGTTCAGCCCTAAGGTTCGGTCAATGCAGTGAGTAGGATCAAATAGTAAAAGTTTTTTCCTCATGTTTCTCCCCCCACTTCAGGTTGCTTAGTCAAATAGCTGTAAGCTAGGTTTTCACGGTCTGTACAAGGGGAAAAAACACAGACGTGCTGCCGGCACGTAGGGAAATAACATCAGGGACAAGAAAGAGGCCTAGCTCTTCTCCTTGACATGCCACATTTCTGGAGAAGTGAGCAGTGACTCATGGACGCTCATCCCCTGCCGCAGATTGTGTTAAGTCCTTAAGACGCTACGGGACTCGTTCGTTTCTCCCGCTACAGACAGACTTAACACGGCTGCCCATTGTGAAACATTTCTAAAAGCAGGGTGTTTTGAGTACACATAGAAATACCCATCATTAGCAGCCTGGAGTGGTTTCGTCAAGGACAAACTTTCCCCCTCAGTTCGGCTAAACTAGGCCTGAATCAGAGGCCTGCAAGCACACTGCCACCTGGTGACCACTTGCAGACAAAACTGTCTTTTCACAGGAGCCCAGAGGACAGTTGCAAAAAGCAAATGAGAAAGGGGTTTGAGCGCCTCATATTTGCTTGACTTCCCGCAGCACTGAAGGGTGATTTTGGAGTGGGTGGGCAAGGGAAACGAGGCCAGGACTTTGGTAGTAGTGGTGGGAAGCTGGTAAAAGGTGCGCTTCTTTCTTAAAGAAGAAATGGAGCTTACGGGAACAAGGAGAAATCCCCCGCTGTAGTTCTCGACGCTGACAATTCGGATCTGACTAGAGGTTTTAGGCTGCCACAGCTGCACAGTGAGGTAGCAGGAAATGGGGGGAAAAACTCTGACAGCTGCAATTTTGTTTCTTTCGGTTTGCACAGAGGAGGGGAAGAGAACTTGACCGTGGGCCTTTTCAACAAAAATATGTAAAATGTGTTCCCTCATGCTTAGCCAAAGCCAAATCCTGCAGGAAAAGCTGTTCCACTATGCTCTCGTGCGGCTCTCACTGATTTCAATGGACAATACTGTGGGAGACCTTCCCGTTGGATCATGCCCACTGTACCCACTGTTCGCTATTCTCTGGCCTTTCTGTTTTCCTCAGAAAGATTTTTTTCCTCTAGCTATGCCATTCTCAAATGAGGGGTTACAGGGCTCACACCTGAGAATCACTGGCCTAAAGAACTTGCTCTCCCAATCTCAGGAGAGTGTGGGATTTTTATTATCAGGTGGCTGCAAAAAAAGCACTCTGTGCATGCTCAGGAGGGAAGTTGTGCTCATATTCTATATCGGAGCCTTGGCATTGAAATCAGGTGGGTATGTGGGAGTTAAACTCTTAAACTCTATCTTATATTAAGCCCACCCTCGTTTTAATAGCTGTTTTCTGAAACGCCTCGGATAACGAGGACAGGGAGGGGCTGTGGCTCAGGGGAGGAGCCAGGGTCCCAGGTTCAATCCCCGGCGTCTCCAGTTAAAAATGTCTAGGCAGTAGGTGATATGAAAGACCTCTGCCTGAGACCCTGGAGAGCTGCTTCCAGGCTGAGCAGACAAATGCTGACCTTGGTGGACTGAGGGTCTAATTCCGTGTAAGGCAGTTTCATGTGTGTGACCTAATCGTTAGATAGAAAGCAAGGCCTGCTTGTGTCCTGGACTCGAATTTTGTTCTGCTACTACAGACTAACACAGCTACCTGCCTGAAACTGTACCCAGGCAGTTTCTTTAGCAGAAAGGGCCATACCTTGCATGCAGGAAGTCCCAAGTTCTACCCTGGGCACCTCCTGTTAAAGGATCATGAGTAACCAACCTGGCCTCCTTCCTCTGCCTGAGACCCCTACCCCATCAGTCACGGTGTTTATTCAAAACCCTTTAAGCCATCTTGCCCTTCAAAATGTCTGGAGTGGTAGAATATGACTGAGCTATATGTACCAAGGACAATACTCTGGTTTCTCTACAGATCGTATAAATCTTTCTCCCCGAGATGTACCAATGATCAGACTTTATATAAAGCTGATTCTTATGCAGATTGTTTCTCCCCCCCCCCTCACCCCTTCTTGATTCCTCTGCTGGGAAAGCTGTTTCCAGCCTTACTCCTGAAGATCACTTCTGGAATTAGACGGGAGTCAGCCCTCCACCCCAAGACAGCTCCTTCGGCTTCAGACCTTGGCGGCCAGCTTGTGGATTTTAAGACCCTCCTTACTTTCCTCCCTCAAATTCAAGAGTTGCCCCCAAGCAGAGTTCCCTCTAAGATGAGTTAGTGTGAGCTAGCTCACAGTTTTTTAGCTTCCAGCTCACACATTTTTGACTTAGCTCAAGAAAGATGGCCCCAGAGCAAACTAATCTATGCTGCAGCCAAATGACTCGCTCTCAACTTTAATGCCAGTAGCTCACAAAGTAGAATTTTTGCTCACAAGACTTCACAGCTTAGAAGGAACATTGAGTCCTTGTACTTTAGGGAAGAAGAAGAGGAGGAGGAGGAGATTGGATTTATACCCCGCCCTTCACTACCTGAAGGAGTCCCAGAGCAGCTTACAATCTCCTTTCCCTCCCCCTCCCCACAACAGACACCCTGTAAGGTAGGTGGGGCTGAGAGAGCTCTTTTGAGGACTGCTTGTGAGAGGACAGCGCTGAGAGAACTTGTAACTGACCCAAGGTCACCCAGTAGCTGTATGTGGAGGAGTAGGGAATCAAGCCTGGTTCTCACAGATAGTCTGCTGCTCTTAACCACGACACCAAACTGGCTCTGGGGTGCAAAAAATGTACTCAGACACCAAAATATAGCCCTCCCCCCACCATAAATCAAGTCAGACCACGGGATCCTATCCTACAACATGGCTTGGAAACCATCGATGGCTGCTCACCAGTCAGAAAAAAACGCCTCATACAGGGATTTTTAAAAAACGACAAAAGAAAAAAAAAACCCAGCAACAAAAGAACTAAATAGAGCAGGGATAGATTTTTTTTTTTACAAGCTTCACTGAGAGACCCAGGATTTCAATTTCTTTCTGTTTTCTCACTCCTTCCGAACAGATGGCAACCTCGCAAGAGACAATGATTTCTGCAGCGCGGGCAGATTTTGGCCTATAAAAATTCTGAGTGCGGGTCTTCCCTCCAGCTCCCGGCGTGCAGAGAAATGAGTGTCATTGATTGCTGGAAGGGATGTGCTCCAAGGAGAAGCATCTGCCGGTCACGAGGCCGAATGAAGAAAGCAATCCAAAGAGAGCGGGGCCGGCGATTTTACGGCACTTCTCCTGAGGTTTGTCCCCCATCAGTCGTCTCCTCCACAAATCCTGAGCAATGCAGTCCTGTAATCCCCAGAGGTGTCAGACTACAATGAAGAGAGAGGGCAAAGAGGTAAGATTTCACATAAGAACATAAGAGAAGCCATGTTGGAACAGGCCAACGGCCCATCCAGTCCAACACTCTGGGTCACACAGTGGCCAAAACCCAGGTGTCATCAGGAGGTCCACCAATGGGGCCAGAACTCCAGAAGCCCTTCCACTGTGGCCCCCCCAAGCACCAAGAATACAGAGCCTCACTGCCCCAGAA